TTCACTTGGTGATATGCTGGAATTTTTCTACAAAGTATTTTATGATTTTTCCTAGGATACCATAAAAATATTATTATGTTTTACATGTGTGTCTATACTATTTTTCATTTGCTGAATCTCAGTTATATTACAGAAATAGTCAAGTGCTGAAGTATGTGTTTCATTTAGTATTAACTGTTCTTAGAGCATTGGCACAGCTGTGACATAAAACAGCAGAGGGTGTGTATGTACTTGTTTATTAGTCCTCTTCATTCCTTTTTAAATTAGTGCTTAACAATCACAGACTAAAGCTGAGAAATATATGCACACACACACACACCCTACATATATAGATAGATACAATATGTCTTATAAACATTCAATTCCATCATGTCCTTAAATAAAAGTATCTGGGACGACCTTGGTGTGAAATTCAGCTGTGTGACTAAATAGTGACTTCACCCTTCAGCTCCAGAAGTGATTATACTTTTTGAGACAGTTTTACCATTGCATTTACAAGTTAGTTTGTAATCAGATGTCAAGTTGAATGGAAAAAATAAGGAAGGAGGTACATAATTTTCCAAATCAGTTCACAGAAGGATAATTGTGTTATTCATGTCCATAGGCACTTATGACAATAATAGTCTTCTTCCTGAAGGACTGAAAGCTTCAGTCAGGGCTAGCACTTCCCATTTCATTCCTCCTTCAGGATTAATTCTTTCACCAATTCTGTAACTATTTATTTGGCTGAAGTACGTCTTATCAACATGCAATATTTAGTGCCAGTTCTTACCTTTATTTCCCTATTTCAAATTATATTAGCCTCCTTGCTTTTATAGTCCATTCTAGTTAGGAGACTGGTCGAATCAACAGACATATCTGTGAATAAAGATCATTTTGCAGAGCTAAGGTATTTGAATCTTTTCCATCTGATGTTGTAGATATGCTTCTGCCATCAAGCAGTCTAAATGCTTGAGGATGATGGAGTAGAAAGGACTTAGTCATAGAAAGCTTTGCATGCTAAAGTTATCCCTCATGATGCCTTTATCACTTCAGTGTTGACTTCGAAGTCAGGAGATAAGGACCATGTGAGTAAGAAATACATACAAATAGGAATGTGAGTATGCAGAGACACTAAATATTTTCAGAGCACTTTAGATCCATCTTTAATAAAGACACAGTATGGATTAAAATCACTCATAGGGCAAATCTTCCAAGTGCAATAGAGCCCCACCAAGTATGAAATTGGCTCCCAGCCTGCCACTGCAACCTGTTCTCTTTCACAGCAAATAGAGTTATCAAATCCAGGCCAAATTCTGCAGTAGCCAACTGTCAAGTGTCACACAGCCTTTGTTCAGGAAAAGGCACCATTTTCTGTGTTCCCTGTGTAAAAAATTCATATGGATTATGAGACTGGACCCATTGTTACTAATAATGGTGTTAGGTATTTCTAGAGAGTTTTTATGAAGGGCAAAAGAAAAAGATACCTGTCCTGGTTGGGACTGGACTAGAGTTCCTGTTGGTTTGGCAGCAGGAGGAGTGCTGCAGCACCCTGAGACCCCAGGGGCTCCCCAGGTCCCAGAGCCCTCACCTGTGTGCGGGGGCGGGGGGAGCACAGCTGGAGGGCTGGGCCCGGATTGGCCAATATCCCATGTCACGTGACATTGTGCTCACTATATAAAGGCAGGAGTGGGCCAGGAGGAGCTCTCACTTCTGGGAGTGTTGCTGTGGGGCCTTTGTGTTGGAGATCGCTGGCCTGGAGCAGGTGGGTGTTGGTTGGTGTGAGGTGAGCAGCTGTATTGTACATTACCTGCTAATACTGCTGTCAGCGTATTGTTCTGTTACTGTTATTAAACTGTTTTTATCCCAACCCGCGAGTCTCCTTTTGCCCCTCTGATTCCCTCCCCATTCCCAAGTGGGGGAGGGTGGGTGAGGGACTGCGGGGTGTTTAGCTGCCAACCAGGCTCAAACCACAACAATATCAAAATGTGTTCCTTTAGATTACAGGGGATTCAGATGTTTTGTTTTAGGAAGAAGTGACAAGCAATACATAAATACCTTTTCCAAGACTTTAACACAAATAAATCTGTAATACTGAAACTGATGGCCCTATTTTCTAAGCTTATTACATGACATTTCATAGTTCATGTGCTTTTAGTATATCTAGGAAAGGATCATGCTGCTCTTTTCTTTAATACATTGAGTAGGCAAATAAAATAACTTAAAGGAAACTATGACCTCTGTACAATTGAAATAAATATGCATTTTCTGAGACTATTAAAAAGAACATTTTCTTTTTTACCTTTCATCTTTTGACATCATGTAGGATTGACTTTGCACAGGTACTGTGGAAATACTGGTTATAAAAAGTCATTATTGTCAGCAAGAAAAATAATGGCGTCATCCCATTTATGATTTGTATATTTGTACTTTCATTCAAGGGGTCCAGGTTAGTCATTCAAATTGGTTTAAAATAACAGTTAATAACTAATGGGTAAAAGTGACTAGTAAGAATGTACTTACAGTAACCTCTAAAGACCATTTAAATATTAATGCCTGAAAGAAGACAACCTAAATAATAGCAAATACTATATTAAAAAAGCTTCCTACTTGAAACACCTTAAGCAAACAAGGAATATGACAGTTTCCATAGGGAGCCTTAAATATCCTAAGTTCTTCTAATGGAAGGCCTCTAGAAATTTAATTTTGTTCTGGACATGCTTTTAATGCTCCTGATCTCCTTGAAGTCAAGTAAGTTTTGATATACTTTGCCAGTGACTTATGAAGATTAAAGTATTAGTGGCCCAGATTCATTCTGACATTAACCATAAGAGAATATTTTTTATTTTATCCATTTGGCTAATCATGATGATATAATTACATGTATAATAATTTAATTCAATAAACAACAAGAGCAAGATATTTATGACTCATTTTCTGTTCCTTCTGAGTGGTCCTGTAGATGTAATGTTGAATTGCAATTTACCATTTAATAATATTGCTATTAACAGAATGAAAAATAACGTTACAATTCCTTTTACATTATTAATTATTCCTGATCTGTACCAGCTGAAGACCTACAATTTTTCAGTTAGGATTTCATATAACTAAATGATTTATATACAGAATCTTACATTGTTGTTTTCTACTGAAGCATTCAAAATAATTGGATAATCTCTATTTCAGATTACTAATTAGACTGAAAAGAATATGAAATTAATTTTCTAGCTATCAGGAAACAAATTTACTCTTAGGGGAAAAAACTATTAATCATTTGTAATAGCAGGTCTTCTTTATCAAACTTGAAGAATAAATACCACAGAAGAAAAGTATAGCTGTTCAGTATTTTAACAGAAGTCCCCTGTCTCAGAAATTTTAACAGTATAAAAATGGATTAGTCAAACTATGTTACATGCGTTCTTTTTCAGCTACAGAACCTAAGTGAGCCTTCTCATTGGTTTATGAGAAGCTTATGTATTGAAGACCAGCATAGGTTGTAATGGGTTAAACTCAGCTTAAAGATACTTTCCAGTTTACAGGTCCAAAAGTATAGGTGGACAAACAAGAATTTGGACAACAATATATTGAAAAATAAACAGACACTGTATTTCCAAGCTTTTTTCAATAACAATACCCTGGTTCCTTTATCTATTTGCACCAATGTAACTTAAGGTTATAAATGGGGAAAAAAAGAAAAGCAGATAAGACAGATAAGACTGAATTTGTTATAAGAAAGTCTAAATTACATTTTCTGACAACCATTGAATATATTCCCAGATACTGTTAGGTCACAGGATCCAACGATGTTCTTCTATTCCTACTCTGAAGGGAAAAAAAAATTAAAGTTTAATCTTACAAGGAGAACGTGAATGGAAAATAAATGGTTTGCACAGAAAAAATATAATCTTAATTTACTTTAGAAAATTATTGTGTAGATTAGTTTCTTGTTGTCTTACATTATCAGGAGCACTGTAATTATGTTTTCATTACAAAATATCTTTTCCCTTGCTACTCCTTTCAAGACTTTCATTTTATTGTTTTTAACATCCACTAGCAGGAAAAGGTTGATGAATTTGCTCACTTCCGGTTTTCAGGAGAACACATATTCTGGGAAATCAGTCCTCAGGATGCAAATTGTCCAAATAACCCATTTTTTTGTTTTGTTTTGTTTTGCCATGGCTTGAGAAGGATACAGAAAGTTTATCAGCTTTTATGTTAAGGCAAGAGCAGCTATTTCCAGCAATTGGTTTACAAGGGCAGTGTGTCACCAGCCTTTCAACATGAAATACATTTGTATTCCTGTCCTTCCCAAGCCCATTCTCCTGCATCTTTCTGTGTGTCCTCTCCCTGAAAATCCTGCTTAATTAATGAGACAGTGCAGCTTATGGACCACTATACTTTGACTTCCTTAGAAAGAAGGAATTCCAAACAGCACTGGTATATTTTTTTCCTATATATCTTGTGCCTTCCAGAAATACAGCAAAATATTGCCAGGTAGTTCCCAGAGTACTGAAGGCACAGGGATTTGAAAATGACAACATATCTGTTTCACCTCTTCAGAATTGTTTGGAACATGCAGGAGGGAGGTATAAGCCTAAACAAATTATATTGTTGAGACTTATGCAGAGAATAAGAAGTTTGGCAGAATAGTTTTGAGGCAGTGTGGCTGGATATGACATGTGAAAAGGGAAGCAAGTCCCTGGAGAGAATCTGACTGAAGGTGGATTAGTTGGAAGAACCCAGGAATTTTAGCAAGAAACATCTAATGTTCTGATGGACTGTAAGGAAATGCAGTGGGATGGGCTGATGGAGAACAGGCTTACCACATTTACTGAGATCTTTGGGCTTTTGTCTCATATAATGTCATCAGAGAGACTGGATATTCCTATATGACACTTTTCATGGTTTCATTTTACACCATAGATAAGCTATGATTGTGTAACCAAATCTGTTAAATTTATCCTGTTTCTGTAAACTTGATTCAACTTTAAAAAAAAGACAAATTTATTCAATATGTGCTATTTTTAAAATATCCATTTTTATTATAGCCAAAGTCTCACAGAATCCCTAACAAAAGTTTATCACTGACACTTCAAAAACATATAACAAGAGACTAGTCCCTTGCCACAGACCTTACAATCACAATGCGGCCTGTGTGGTATCAGGGACATAGAGAAATACAGTCTGTTTGGAGAATATTTTATTTTTTCATTGTTAGTCACAGAAATTTGTATGTAGAATTCTTATTCTATTCAGCAAAATAGTATAGAAGATTGCTACACAAAAATATCCAGGCATACTGTGAAATTCTTCCTATTTCTATGCATACTAACTATTTAAAGCAATATAAAAGGTCAGTTATGTCCTCTAGGTGTTTCTAAGTGTTTCAAGTTTTATAATGCACACATAAAATGAAGACCATGTTTACTACTGCTTTTTTTCTCATATTTGTAATATAATGTCATTCCTCAAGATGTGGTGATTTTTTTTTTTGTATTATTATTTTCTTATTTTTGGAAGAACTGATTTAAACTGTTTTACATATTCCAGTTCTTTTCTAAGTGTAATCTTCAGATTAATCCAGAGAAAAGTCTATGATGTTTGAATAGTTTACTAAATGGGTGAGATCATTTGGGCATCTACTTTACTAATACATACATTTCCTAACAATATAGCTGCATTTAAAAAATCAATTCCATTTGAAAAGAGTCTAGTGCCTGAGTGCTCCTTTTTTTCAACACAAAAGAGGGAACACTGTAAGGATCAGTTTAGTATCTAAAACAGGAATCACTGAAGTGAAAGTTTGTTAGTGAAAGGTATTGTCTGAATTTGTCTGTCTTTTTGATACATATAGTATCAGTATTTTGGGATGATTTCAGCAGTTGGTGGTATGGTCTTCCCATGGTCATTTAAGGATGTGTAAATTTGCTGATTTCCTGTAAAAAAAAAAAAAAATGACAAGAAAAGGAGTAGAGAATTTAAGTGAAAATGAAAATCTGAGTGAGTCAGTAAAGATTTAGAGAAACAACAAAGTCATTTTTTTCTGGATAAGAAAAGAGCAGTAAAAAGAGAAAGACATTATCTGTGTTTATGTTAAATTAGGAATTTCAGATTGCCTTCATCTGTGACAGATTATAGGATTTCTGATTGAGCAATTTTGTCAATGAGTCAATGAACGGCATAGAAGCAGATCATAAGGAGTCAGCTTGACACCACTACACAGAAATTTTCCAGAATCTCAACTGGCCTATGAGATTAAAATATCTTCCCCCTTGAGTCAGCGGGACTCATTAAGCAGAGTGCCATGGGAAATTGACTCAAAGGCAGTGAAACTGCTGAAGAGATCACTTTATCAGGCTTCTAGCCAGGTAGAGGCATGACTTGTGATGCTCTCCTATACTAAAAAGAAGTGAAATTATTTAAATTATTAACTTACTATATTTGTGCTAAACAAAGTAAAGAAAATTATATGGAAGAGACCAAGATATATCCTTTCTTTGTGAAATTTGTAAGCAGACATTTCAGATCAGAATAATTTTGCACCTTTGATATTCTCATCCTTGCCATCATGTTTGTCAGTGAACAAATATCAATGTATAATTTTTTATTTTTCTCATTATCTTAAGAAAAAAATTCCAAAAATTTCCTGTGGTAGCCAGTAGATTTGTATCAATGTTCTTCTGAATGAGAAGAAAACTTATGCAGAATCTAAAACCACAGAATATTCAGTGTGTAGGGACCCAGACTTCAAAACTGAAACTGTAAAGGAAAATCTGTTTTGGGACTGGAGTGTCCACTAGTTCAATCAGAAGTTTCCATAACTTTATTCCTCTGACGGCTAGAAACCTGTTTCTATCTACCAGACTACATCTTATTAATGAAAATTTTATACCTATTTCTTTCCACAAATTTTATCTATTTTATTAAAGTTGTTTTTTTTTTTAATTTATCCCTGATCTTCTTTCTTTTATTGTATTTATAAAGAATATACATTTTCTTATACTTACTGATTTTTTACATTTAATCAGGCTGATTTTTTTTTTCTTCTGATTTTCTTGGCTAAGTGATGGTTTCTTGCAGCCTTGAAGTATGTATTCATTTTTCTTGAAGAGGAGGAATCATGTTTTAACTTGTTAAAGAAAGTGCCTGGTACCTAGCACAATATTAATACTTCATTGTTTCTACTGGAAATATGGTTTTTAATGCTTTCAAGAATATTTGCTTTACCACTGATATACCATGTTAGTAATTAAGAATCATTCTATCTTTAGCTTCTAGCTAGATGTCTAGGTCTTTCTCGTCCTTTGACAATTCCACATGATGAGTTCCCAGACAATACCAGAAATTATGCTTACTATTCCTGAATTTTGTAACCAGCTATTTTGCACAATTTGACTCCACTCTCTTGCAAATACCACATTCCTTCTTAAGGTCATCTAAAACTCTATGTAGAATTCTTGAACTTTCTTACCATTTATGCCGTCTTCCAACTTTATTTTACCACCTGTTTTCATTAACAAATGTTTCAAGGTTGTTACTGCAATTCTCAAATAAAATTTGGTTCAATATGCCTTTTTTTCTAAAGTAAACCCACAGATTTATCCTTTCATTGTTTTACATGAACAAGATCTATATTCCCCTAAAAACTATTGTTCTAGCCCCTGCATCCTCCAGTTTTGCTAAAAATTTCCCATGTCACTATCAAATAAGATAAAGTTTCAGACTGAGACAGTGTCTGCATAAATTATCTGCATCTGAACTGGATGTTTAAGGCCCAACTGTAGTAAATGAAGACCTAGACAATACAGCTAATGGAGCTTAAGGGTAGAGTCTATTCACTTCAAAGTAGACAAGGAAGATAACATTTGGTTGTTTAAATACAGATACCTAACAATACTTTGAGGCTTTACCATATGCACTGTATCTTCCTTCAGCTGTCACTCCGAGGAAGCGTGAGTATCCCATAGGTTCTATGTTGTTTCAGACAGTTCCACATGAATGTCTTGCATTCCCTATGACATCCAGAAAAGAATGAGGCATTTGAGTTCCACCCCTACATAAGTATACCTGGAACTGATTATCCAAGTTTCAAAACAACTGCCACCCACTATGGGTTGGTTTACTGATTACGTTTCTGATATACAAATCAATGAAGTTTACTTCATTTAATTCACTTAGAAAGTTATCCAACTTATTAAAGAAAAATGTCAAGTTGTCCTGGAATCATCAGTTTTTCATGAGTCCATGTTGTATTTTATTTCATTTTACTTTGAAATATACGCATTTAATTATGACTAATATTAAAACTAGTGCTAAGACTCACCCATTATTAAGGGCAGCTTGAGCAGACTTCTGCTGCTCAGAGTCCCTAAACCTGAAGTAGAACCTCTTACTTGATGTCTTTAACTAGAATTCCTGCTGCCAGAAAGTGTTTTCCAGATGGAAGATGTGATCTGGACTTCACTGAACTTAATTGGAAATAACAAAGTAGGATGGCTAAAAGAGGCCTAAAGGCCATGTGTCACAGCCTTGTCATTAGGAGTTTATAGGAAAGAGAGTGGCAGATCAAAGAAATATGTTTTGTGTTCCATGACTTTTGTTTTTGTGCTTACATCAGTCCCTGAAAGAATGATCTGGAAAAGACTGCCTGAGAAGATGAAGACAATTAGCTTCCATATTCAAAGGAGTATATGATTAATATGCTGTATTTGATTAATTTTTTTTTACAGGTATGGTTATGTGTGACCACTTATTTTTAGTGTCATTTGACGTCAATTTAAACCCATGTATTTCATTGCAAATCCTTTGAAGTCATTCAATATTTACACTGTTGCAAATATACTGAAAGGAGAACAATTCCATTTCTTCATTCTGCTTTCCTACAACACAATAGCTTATAATTTGTTATTATCTCTCTGTCAAATCATATGTTCCAGGATTAGAACATCTTGCTTGTGACATCAGAGGTAATAAGCATCTTCTCCTGCATTTCCTCATGAAACATTGTTTTCAAAGTTCTAGATAAGTTAATGAGGGCATTTGTTCCAGTACTTCATAAGCTGTATGCCTAGATCACTGAGATCAATTAAAATTTCAATTTGTTCAATTAATCTGAGGTAGTATTTCATATAGGTTCTTAATAATCAGGCTTAACATTGTAAGATAATAGAAACTTCTGCTGCATTTCATGACAGCAATGAATTGTTTTCAGTCAAGGGTACTCAACTGTGAAACAGCTTAGAGAACGGAAAACATTAAGGCAAAGTATGTCTTATCTTCAAAACACGCTGCAAAATCTGTTTTCCATACACTTCTGATTTTCACTGAAAGCAATGGACTTTGCCATGGTGTATAATTGTAACATAGAAATTTTTACAGGAATATGTATATAACATTTTCTTGTTCAGTACTTTATCTCTTATATGGGCCATACGATGCACATCATAGAAAACCACAAATACTTCATAGCATACAACTGAATAATTAACTTACAGCAAACATCTCTTAGCTTCTGCAAACAAACTCAGTCAGAAAAATATATCAATCAGCCAAAATGTAAACAATTATCCGTCCGGATATTATGTAGCATTTTACTGGAGAATTTCCTCAGAGGATGGTTTCAAATTCTGTCTGTTTTTCCATCTACTCATTCAAATAAATGCTTGACAACAAAATTGAATAGGTGTGTGACAACCTGCTGAAGTGTTTCAGAACCAGAAATTTCAGCATTGCCTACATTTTTTTACAGAAGACTTAGAAATTCTTGGATTTTATTCCTAACTAATTGAAGGGAAATGAAAAGTTCTATAAAACCTAATTTCTTTATTACAAACAACTCTGTCAAAAAGTATGAGTTTTTATCTATTTCCCTTTCTAATATAACAGGGTAAACTTTGTGATTATCTATATAAATGTTCAATTAGTCTTAATGATATTTTATGGTGATTAGATTCACAGGCTGAACAGTATTATTGTTAGTGATACTCATGGGGAAAAATAAGGGGAAAAGCAATTCTAACTTTGTATGCACAGTGAAGGACTCTGAACTAGCTTGTATTACAGAGGAAAGACATCTCAGAGTTATAATACATTATTCTATGAAAATAGAGTAATCATTTTAATGTTCAGAAGCAGTCAAACAAGCAAATTGAGTATTAGAATTTATTAGGAAAGGAATGGAGAACTAATCAGAAAACAGTGTTGTGGCACTGTGGCACACACAGTGTTCCTGGAACATGAATATTGTGTTTATTTCTGTTCCCCTAATGAAAAAAAAAAAAAAAGGATAAAAGAAAGAGAGAAAGGTACAGAGAAAAGCAACAGGATAAACCAAAAGTAGAAGAGCTTCTATATAAGTAATGATTAAAATCACTACATTTTTGTCATCCGAGGAAACAGTTAAATAATTTTTAATATGATAAAGATCTATCAAATCACAGTTGTCCCAGGAAAGTTGAAACATTTTTTTTTTCCAGTGTCTCATAATTTAGGAAACAGGAGTCATCAGATGAAATCGTCAGATGTTAATCTGAAAAACACTTTTCTACATAAAGCATGGTTAAATAGTGAAACTCACTACAATAAGATATTGTTAAAGAAAAAACTTATATGAGTTCAAGAGAAATTATAAAAAATAATGGAAAAAGAGCTACCAAGAGTTAATAAACACAGTTCAGCAACTTATATCACTGTCTCAGATGGATCAATCAGGAGGGTCCAAAAAAGTGTAACATGAAAATACTACAAAAAATTTAACTTTATTCTTATATTCTTTCTGAAATGTTATTAGTCATACTTGGTGATAGAATTAGTCTGATCAGCACAGGATGAGGATGTCACATTATTGCAGGAGAAAGAGGAAGAGGAGAAAATAATTTTTAAAATATTATTTATTAATGATACTGAAAGATTTTTTTAATAATTTTTATATAAAAATTATAGCAATACTATTCATGATGCTACTAAACTGGGAGGTGCTGTTGGCTTTCTGAAGGGACAAGATTCCTCTGCAGAGGAATCAGGTATATTGGTGCATAGGGTAATCATCAATGGCATGAAATTTAACAAGACCAAATGATGGATTCTGCACCTAAGATGGAGTAACACCAGGAACAAGTATAAATTGGGAGAGGAGTAGCTGAAGAACAGCCCTGCAGAAAGGGATCTGGGGGTGCTGGTTGAATATAAGCCAGCAGTGTGACCTGGCAGCCAAGAGGGCAAACTGCATCCTGGGGTGCATCAAACACAGCATAACCACCAGGTCAAAAGATGTGATTAGCCTGTTCTATTCAGCGTTGGTGCTGCCTCGCTTTGAATACTGTGTGCAGTTCTGGGCCTCACAATTTTAAGAAGGATGTGAAGGTCCTTGAATGCATTCAGAGGAGGGCAACAAACATGGTGAAAGAGATGGAAGGCATGTCCTATAAGGAGTGGCTAAGGACTTTGGGTTTGTCTGATTTGGAGAGAAGGAAGCTGAGAGGCAACGTCATTGCTGTCTGCAGTTCCCTGAGGAAGGGACATGGAGAGGGAGGTTCTGATATCTTCTTTACAGTACCCAGTGATAGGACATGTGGGAATGGTTCAAAGTTGCACCAGGGGAGGTTAGACTGGAAGCACTTCTTTACCAAGGGGGTGGTCAAACACTGGAACAGGCTTCCTAGGAAGGTGGTCAATGTCCCAGGTCTGTCAGTGTTTAAAAGACATTTGGAAAATGCCCTTAATAACATGCTTTAACTTTTGGTGAGCCCTGAATTGGTCAGGGAGTGGGATTAGGTGATCACTGTACTTCCAGCTGGTTCCGTTCCGTTCTATTCTATTCTATTCTGTTCTGTTCACCTTTGATCTTACAGATGCAAAAGCTGTGGTCATATTTAAAACATACATTCTCCTACATACATCTGCATCAAATTATCATCAGAGTTAACAAAAGTATATTCACCTTCTTCAATAGCATCTAAGAACTTATTAATTCCAAGTCCTTTCAAGGTCTTGTCTTCCTCAGAAGGGTAGGTATCAATGATGGCACACACAAGCTATTAGAAAGCAGAGAGAGGTCCCAGTAATCCACTTCTCTTCTCTACCTTCCCACTAGTCCTGTGCTCAGCTGTTGAGTGACAAGAAGGTCCATACTTGTATGTGGTCCTGACCATGATGTTGCCTTTCTCTTGCAGCATAAAGGGGTGAGGCTTTGATTTGACACACAGTACATGCCAAGGGACTGATGGAAAGGAGGATGCAAAAAAGTCAGGTTAAATGATGCCAAGAAACCATTGTAAAATGCCAGTGGCAGATGCAAAGATAAAATATCTGTGTGCTCTCCTATCTCACTTTTCAGACATCCAATATGTCCTTCCTCAGACACTTAACTTTGTAAATATGTATGGCAGGAAGAGGCATTAAGCCCATTAAACCACAGCCATCCTGCATAGTTACTCTGTCACTATTTTAGCGTGTTTCCAATGTTTTTTACCTGGCATTATTATAATGTTATAATATAAGAAAATGTAAGAAAGTAAACTGATATGGTCATCAAACCCAATGAGCTATTAAATAAGTAATAGTTGTTTTGAAAGACTCGAAATATTTAAGTAGCATAACATATATAAAATGAACTCTAGTAATATCATGGGTTTACTCCATAGTAACATTTACATTTTCACTTACGTTCCAAAAAAACAACAGACCTCTTAGTCTAACATCAATACCGAAAAAAAAAATGTGGAGCAGATCATCTTGGGAGTTATTGAAAGGCATTTAAAGGACAATGCCATCATCAGGCACAGTCAACATGGGTTCACAAGGGGAAAGTTCCATTGAACTAATTTGATATCCTTCTACGTTAGTCACATGCCCAGTGGATGACAGGAAGGCTGTGGATGTAGATGCTCTGGATTTTAGTAAGGCTTTTGTCACAGTCCCTGACAGCATCCTTCTGGACAAGCTGTCCAAGTGTGAGATGAGCAGGTTCATGGTGCAACTGGGTGAAGAACTGGCTGAACAGCAGATCTCAAAG